GGGGGGGGGGTGTCCTTGGAGTACCATATAAATACGTGAATGTGGATATGAATATGTCATGTGCACTAATGTTAAAAAATTTAGAATAATTTTATTTTTTTATTATTTTATATATATTTATATATATATATATTTCTGTATCAAATAAATGCTGTTCTTTTAACTTTCAATTCATCAAAGAACCCTGAAAACATGCATCACATTTTCCACAGAAATATTACACGTCAAGTTTTCCAACATTAATCATTCTTGAGCACCAAATCAGCATATTAGAATGATTTCTGAAGGATAATGAGACACTAAAGACTGGCGTAATGATGCTGCATTTTAAAATACTTCATAAAAGAAAACAGTTATTCTATATGGTAATAATACGGTACAATTTTACTGTGTTTACTGTATTTTTGATCAAATAAAAGCCGCTTTGGTGAGCATAAGAGACTTTCCAAAACATTTAAATAATCCAACCAACCCCAAACTTTTGACCAATAGTGTAAATATCAAAATACTATGGTATCATACTGTCACAGCACCATGGTACCACCACAGTATTTTTTTAGAGATGAATCAGATGGAAAAATGCTAAACTTGAGCTTGTGGCCACATCCCTGAAAGCACTTGTCATTTCTGATGGGCTGCCAAGGCACAGTGCAGAAACAGATGAAAGAGGAGTCTGGATACCATCTGCTCTTCCCTAAAAACCAGAGGTAGCAGTATGTGTGTATAATAACCTACAGATTCAGCTAGAACAGTATCTGTGGAATATTTGAATGAAAACCCCACTTCACAGACCTCAGACACATGCGGCCAGACAGATGTATAAACACACAAACTCAGACGCTCTGTTTTTACCCTTCAGTACTGTCATTGACTTTAGGTCAGCATACAGTGAGTGGAATCTAGCTCTGCGCAGGATTACCACTCGGTCAGACTCAGATTTGTCTGCGGCACAGATTATCTGAACACAGAAAAAGGATGTAAAGGGGAATCTACTCAATGCCTGGAAACAATAGCCTGAAAATCCTTCACACGAGCCAACCGTTTCAGTCTACTGAGGGGACACATAAAAAAAAATGTGTGTTTTAAGATGTGAATCATCACGCACCCATTGGCCAGTTGTCGTACACATGCTTGGCGATGTCGGCCGCGGAGTCGTTTGGCGAGAACAGGAACTCTTTTGTTTTTCCACTCACCAAGATGAGCCTCAAGTTGATCTGAAACACAAACACAAACAATAGAGCCATTAGAAGCTCGGTCAGAGTCCACCCCACACTTCCTCGGCATCGACACGAAACGGCATTCGCATCCCATTTTAACTCTGTAGTGTGACATATTTCCGAGTTTCATACCAGAACAGAGCAAGAACTACCAATAAGAGTGTAGTGTTCTCAGCTCCACTTACCATGTTTAAATATATTCTAGAAATCAAAAGAAATGTGAAAGAAAACAGTAGTTTACACTAGCTGCGTTTCCATCCACCTTTATGCGCATTTTGGAATATCGCATAGAAAAAACGCTGGATGGAAATGCCAAGATGCGCATAAATTCTAAAAATGCTCATAAAAAACGTATGCGCACATTTGAGTAGGATAAACTTTTTATCCGATAAGAAAAAATTAGCATAAACTACGATGGAAACACATTTACCGAATAAATTCCTTCATGCACATCGAAAAAGTCATGTGACTTTGCGCTATGAGACGGGATAACTTGACTAGCAGCGGACCGATCTCGTTCACAGCATCTATATGTTGTTATGGTCATTCTGAAATGCCTGAGCAAAGTCTGTCGTCAAAGTATTTCTGTATAATTGTTACACGACTGCATTCCCAAACAGCAGCATCCACCTCCGAAAGCATTGACAGCATTTATTGTGTTTTGTCTGCTCGCTCTGAGGTGCAAGTAATTTATATCATATATGAAAATTATTATATTCAGTGGCTTCTCCTAAATTCTTAGAGATATTTAGTGCCACAGTTTCCAGGAAGTGACGATTTTGTTCTCTTTGACTCGTTGGATGGAAACGATGCTTTATTCGCATATGTTTTATGTGATATTCCAGTTTTGCGCATAAGTTTAATTCGAATCTTTGGATGGAAACATAGCTACTGAGGGGAAATTAAGAATGAGATTAAATAAAAATAAAATGTTAAAAATAATGAAAACAAACATAAATAATGCAAAACAATGTGAAATAAATGAAGTAGGGTTAACTTTAATTTCATATTGGCTTTAATATCACGTTGAAAAAAATCTCTAGAAGAGAAGAATACTAAATTATTTAACAGCACAAACATGACAAGAAAGATTTTTGTGAGCAACACTACTGTGATTTTTTTGACATATCAACATTACAATGGCAAGTTTTAAATGGAATTTTCACCCATAACACAATTATATAATTAAATTATATTTAGCCTAATAACTTAACTGCAAAACTTCCAGCAATTATTTTAAATTAAAACCATATGTTGTAAAAAATAAAATAAAAAAATAAGTCGCTAATTTGTCAAATAAATAAATAAATACATAATGTTATATAATAATAAAATGCTAATGTTAATAATAAAAAATATATTAATAACACATGGATATATACATTTCTGAAATGTTTAAGTATGTTGGTAAAAATAAACTTAATTAGTTGAGGTGGCACCTGTGAAAAAACAGGCAGGGCAAATCTGAAATAATCTGCTCTATTACCATGGTATATGTTTGTATATGTTAATAGTCTAAAACAAAAAAGGTTAAGTTTTTTGATGGAATTTTGATTGATTTGATGTCAATATCACACTCCATTTTCTCTGAATCTTGGCATAGTTGACATAGCTTTAGATAAAGTTTCAGTATGGGCTCATTTATTGGACGGTTGAGAAATTCTTTCATAAATTTTTCATATGTCCTTCATTGCGTCCTTTCTTTGATTGCGAACCACCAGTCATTCAGTCAGCACAATTATGCTGTTTGTACAAGTACTCAAGCAATACAAATTGCAAAACGTTCATTATCATATTCATTCACTTCCCAGAGTGTCACCCATTTAAAAACCCAAGAGCAGGAGGCATCAAGCTGAGAGAAAGGGCTCTGGGCCATGCATGTCCAATGCACGTGTGTTACTATACAGATATGTCAGAGGATCCAGTATTAAGCTCCTCCCTCTATACACACGCGCACACACACAAACTGCCAGCTGCAGTGATGTAACAGAGTGAAAACCACCAGATGGAAACAAAGATCCTCCTAAGCACTTTACAGAATCAGATTAGAGCCAGAAGCAAGCCTGCTCGCTCAAACCACTCATTCAGAGATCACAACACACACACAATCTCCATCCAAGTCTCCATCTAAGCCAAGAGTATCAGTCAACAAACAGCCACACACATGCATGCACTTGCCCAAGTAATGGTTGGATGAACACGCAGACATACACATGCAAATCTAATTTAGGCTCGGATTAGTATGTGGCTATTTTATGAAGGCACCGCACAGGAAGGAAATACCAGAGGAAATCTACTTATCACAGTATTTCTGAACACATTTTTGCCAATTCACTTTTAACAGACATAGGCTAATTTATATATGTCAGAAAACAGGAAATGAATGCAAAGTGCAACAGAAGGCCCCTATCCTCAAATTAGTATTCATATCCTCCAAATGTAAAGAAAAGACAATAAATGTGCTACATAACATTCTGAATGGTAATGCTTTTGGAAATATGTCAAATATAAACTACTTTTCAAAATTTTGGGGTCAGTAAGATTTTTTTATAAAGAAATGAATACTTTAATTCGAATAAGGACACATTAAATTGAAGAATGACAGTAAAAACACATTTATAACGATACAAAAGAATTCCATAGAAATATTCGTCAGCAGAACTGTTTTCAAAATCGATAATGAGAAGAAAAGTTACTTGAGCACCAAATCATCGTATTAAAATGATTTCTGAAGGATCATGAGAGTATTAAGCCTGGACTAAATTACATTATATTAAACTGAAATAAATATATATATTAAATTGTAACTATATTTCACATTATTACTGATTTTACTGAATTTTTAATTCAAAGCCTTGGTGAGGACAAGAGACTTATTACAATTACAATGCATGAACTTATTTTTATTTATTTTTTATCGTATATATGTAATATTTAAGCATTAATTCGCTTATATATGGCTATGTTTGACATTACTGGCATTGATTAACAGACCAAAATGTATTAATGCATTAATGAAACATTGATTATATTTAAAAACAGCTTTGGCAATTAATAAATGTACATTTTATATTTTTAAATATATTTAATATATTTCACCGAAATACTGTATTAAATAAGTGATCATTTAATTACAGCAATTTAATTACCCATATCAATTATATTATATTGTATTTAATTATATAATATTACTACCAATAGCTCACCCTTTTCTTTACACTGGCATCGAGTCATCGACATTGATGATTAAAGTAAAAAAATTTAATTAAAACCTTTTTAATACAAATATGTTGTCAACATTGTGACAAAAAATGTCTGTCATTGTATATTTATTAATTAAAAAAACTCCACCTTTCAATCAACTGCCCTTTTCAGATGACATCATCAAGCCCTTACCAAACAATTCTCAATGGGCAAAATCTAATAAAACCCTACATTTTTTCTTTCATGAATATCTTGTTAACTTAAAATACATCACATTAGGAAGTAAAAATAATTGTTGTTTCATATTTGTCCACCCCGGTTATGAAGACGCAACTGAAAAGGCATGTCATTCTCCTGCATGGACTCAATCAATGAGCTGGCATTCACCAGCTAGTGGTTCATCAAAAACATCAGGACGGCAACGGAACACCTCCTAGTTTCCATAGAGATGGTAACCGTGGCAGCGGCTCATCTGTGAGAGCGCTGACCTGAATCACCTGCAGGCAGAGTCTTTCTTCATCTGTCTCCTCCTCTCTCGCCGCAGCTCATCTTTCATTATGTCACTCCATCTTTTCCACATCTTTGTGTAACGATGACATATCATCTTCACCTGGTGAATGCCAAGCAGACGTTGATTTATTCGATGTTTCCAGACATACGCAGAAAGGAGGAAAAGCTCTAATAGCAGAAATATGTGTTATGCTGGGATACGTCTGCTCGAATCTCCTTGGTGAGCAGACAAAATCTCACTATGACGTAATACGACATGCATCGATGCCTCCGAGGAACTTCAACAACAACAATCTCAGCAGAAAACATCCGCTGGGGAATGATTTCATAGGCGAGGATGACACTGGCGCTGGTTATGCCCGGTGGCAGGTGGTTCCCTCTCTGTGAAGACAGTAGTTGCTATGCCAAACATTATTACACTACTCAACAGCCAACTCTACTACTGTTTCCCTACAAAATATTTTCACCAATCCCAGCCCAGGAAGCCCCGGACCCCCGCAACCAACCAACGTTTGATGTGATCACCCCTCCCCCCACCCCCACGCTCCTGCACACACAAACACACTTTCCTAGGGACACGAACAACATGTAGCACCTCACTCGTGAGGCCACAGGACAGTGATGGGACCTCCTGTGTTATGGAAAGATTTGCTTATGTGGAAACTAGATTCATACTAGAGAAACACATAAAGCACAACAAAGCCAATAAACTCATTCCATGTGAAAAATGTTTTTAAAATATCATATTCATACTTTCAGCATTATTTTTTAGTGTTTAAGGCATGATTATGAAAAAAATATAACTTTTTTTAACTGAATGAAGAAATGCCATGACTTTACAGAATAAAAAAAAAAAAGATTTTACAAAGGTTGCACACAAGTAATTTCTGACCGAATAAATATAAAGCTTTACAAGATAGGATTGTTATATATAAATACATAAATATACACAAAAATACAAGGAAAAAAATAAATACAAATATTAAACTAGCACTTATTTTACACTCTCTCTATATATAAAATACAATTAAATGCATAGATTTAAAAATATATAAAATAGTGCCAATTTTTATATATAAAAACTTTATATATATATATATATATATATATATTCCAAGACAATTCACTGATATTACTATGAATGGGAGAAGGTGAAA